TCTTGGGGGGGGGGGGGGGAGTTAAGCAAAAAAATAAATTAAAAGGAATAAAGAAGGAAAAAAAAAGGAAAGCGAAGGAGATCGAGATCTGTTGGCAAATAATAACAATCACGGTCCACGCGGTGCTCGCAGAGGGGCTCTGCCTCGGGCCGCTGCCCTCCCCGCCGCGCTCAGCGCCCGCGGAGCACAAAGCGCGGCCCCGGCGGGGGGATCTGATCCCTGGGCTCGTGCTCGGTTTCTCAGAAGTGTTTGCATAGGCGAAATGTTTGCGGGAGGAGGAAAAAGAACAAAAACAAAAAACCAACCGGCTCAGCCCCAGCTATCGCCGCCCAGCCCAGCCTGCAGCCCTCGCCTCCCGCGCTACTCGCGCGGCACTCGCGGCCGGACGATCCCCACCGCGTCCCAGCTCCTCCCTCCGTTTTCGCCTGTACCGGGCTCCTCGCCGCTCCGAGTTCGCCTCCCGGCCCCGCACCGGCTCCCTCCGCCCCTCGCAACGCTCCCGGGCCCGACGGCCCCGGCGCCGCTCCCGTGGGCGGGAAGAGGGGATCCGCTCCGGGCGGCGGGTCCGCGGCCGGCCGCGATCCCCGCCTCGCTCCGCCGCCCGCGGCCGTCGTCGGATCGGCGGCGCTCCCCGCGGCCCCGACCCTCCGATCCCTCCCGGCCGCGGCTCCCGAAAGGCGGCGGCGGAGCCGGGCGGGTGCCGTTCGCCCCCGAGCCCCGCGCCGCGGGCGAGGAAAGTTGCCAAAAGAGGCGCAAAAGAGGCGGCGGGTCCGGCGCTGCGCCCGACCCCCGGCCCCGCGGCCCCGCGCCGCCGTCCCGCAGGGAGAGCGGGGTCCGCTCGCGCTCGGACAGAACCGCGGGCAAAGCCTCCGGTACCAACCTCATGGCCTCCCCGCTCCAGCCTCCATCTTTGACTAGTTGACATTCAGCTCCTGCCTGACCAAGTCCTCATTAGCATACCTCCCCACCATTGGCCCGGCCCTGCGCTAGTTTTTGCCACCGCCTCTGCCATTGGCTCGCGAGGAGGATATTTAAAAATATTATCCTTGGCCCCATTGGCGGGCGACTGCTGACGTCACGGCACGCTCTTTATTTTAACAATGAACGCACAAACACATTCTTCCATTCACAAATTTTTTTTTTTTTTCAGTAGTTTGCCCGCCTTTTCTCCAACTACATTTTCATTGATTTTTTGTTTCGACTGAGGGAGTCCCGGTTGTAAACAGATAAATTAAAGGCCAACAGAAGGGGGACTTGAGCAAATATTACTTTCTCTCTTTTGTTCGGTAGCGGCGGTGTTGAGGGAACAAAACTCATCTCCTGCGGTCCCTCGGCTGAGAGGTGCGGTCGCCCTTCTCCCGCTCAGCCCAGGAGACCGCGGCGACTTCGGGCGCATCGAGGAGCTCGAGCTCTATCCCGCAAACAGAACCGCCGGTCCCGCCTCGTCAAAACAAATCGTCGAATTTGTCGCGTTAGGAGGGCGATTGTCGCTGGGGCTGAGGGTGTCGGCGGCTGCGTGCCCGGCCGCTCCCCACGCCGCACTCGTGGCCGCTCCGAGCCGGGCAGAGCGGGGCTGCGAGGCGGGGAGCCGCGGGCGGCCGGGAGGTGCGCGCTGTGAGCGGTCTCAGCCACGCCGGGTGCGAGAGCGGCCGCAGCGGTCCGGGGGCTGGGAGCGGGGGGTGCCTGGCGGGGCTCTTCGCTGCCAACGGCGGAACGGAGGGTTTCCTGCAAAAAACGAGCGGAGGGGCCAGGAGAGTAGCTGAGGCGCAGTCTCTCTGTCAGAGACGTGTCTTGGTGAGTTTCTGGTTTTGGAAAGATTCCTGCTGTATTGTTAGGCAAGAAACTCGGTTTCTGCAGTTGTTTTCACCCCTGAAATAAATAGCTCCCCCCGTGGAATAAGCTATTCAGCAATTGGTTTCAACAGATGTTTTAAAATAAAATGGTTTTAAAACCCAAAGGAGCGAGCTTAGGAGCAAATGAATTGTACGAGCTTCAAGAAAGTGGTACCCTTTTGTAGGTAAAAAGTTGTTTTGTTTATTTTCCCCCACTTTGGTAACATTTTATTAAGTAGTCAGCGTTCAAAAAGGTGTTTCTCTCTTAGCCGTTGGACGATTGTGTTTAAAAATCTCTTTTCCTTTCTTTTGTTAACAACCGTTACACTCAACCCCGCTGAAACACGACCCATGGACACGGGAAGTAGAATTTTACAATATGCAAGAAGGATATTCGCTTTTTTTTAATTATTGTTGTTAGTAAACGAAACTTCCTTTGTGCCTATCTCGGGCTTGGGAGGTGGTTCTGATTTGGAAGCTTTCTCCATATATGTATGTGCATATCTGCATAGCCCCCACGCAGATATTGAACCCGAGCTGTAAGCGCTGGGTCTGGGTACTAATGGGTGGGGATTGGAGTAGTGGATCTCTGGCAGTGTTTTTGGAGATGGGAGAGAAGGGCAGTGGGCTGTGAAATCACACATTCCTGTCCAATGGAGCTGAAATAATGGTATTGTTCTCTGGAAAAGAGGTTGCTTTTCTCTTCTCCATTCTTCCCCTGATCTGCAGGGACCTGATTGTGCAGTTAATCAGCAAAAAAGCGTTTGATGTAAGGCAGGGCGTGAATTCAAAAGGGCCAGGGGGGATTCAAGAGGGATTCTTGTGTCTGTTAGATTTTTTTTTTTTTTTTTAATTTCAAAACGGTAGGCGTTTGAAAAGCTGCGCTGGTCTCTCGTCAGAGATCCGGGTTTGTAGTGGGTACCGACACTAATTACATCACTTTCTTTGTGGGTTTGACACTTTACTTCTGGGGAAACCGAAAAAAGAAAAAAATAGATATCTTACAGCAGAACAGAAAGATGTCTTTCCTGGAGCAAAGGTGAGCCCTACATCCCTGCAGCTCATCCCTTCAGCCTGCTGTCGCTCTCCAGAGTGCCTCCTTATGCCGTTCTGCTTAGTGCTTGGCTCTCAACAGTTCACTCTGAGATGAAGGCTGTGGGGACCAGGTAAGAACCGAGCTGGTTTAGCAGCTCCTGGTGGGGACCTGCTCCCTGCATACGGCACCCAGCTCCACGAGGCTGTAGGCACGGGAGCTTTCCTGTCCCACTCTGGCCCTTGTAGTTCCTCATTGCCACCCTCATCCCAAACGCTAAGAATAATTGAAAACTCCTTTCTTATTTCAGTGTGGTTGTTTCCCAAAGCTTTCAACAAAATGCTTTGTGCTGATTTCTGGTTTTCCTTCTTTCCAAATCACAGCGTACACAAATACATAAATTCACCGAGATCCTCTGACTTCACGTATTATTCCAGCTACACAGGAAATGACACATCCCAGAGAAAGGGAGCTGCCTTGGATGCTCACGTGAAAAATGTGTAACTGTGCAGCCCGTTCCGAGCAGGTTTCTCAGGTTCGTTTCGGCCGCCCCGTCAATGAAGCGCAGGACCATTCCCAGCCCCGGCCCGGTGCTCTGCCCTCGGGCTGAGCGCTGCTCCACTGCGCTGCGCTCTGAGGTTTGGAGCTGCGGACATCGGGGAGTTCTTCGGAATGTTTTGCTGTTGTTTTGCTGCAAATGCGCGGTTGTGCTCTTTCCTCCCTTTGGAAAGGAAGGCTGACATAAAGCGTCCGTTCTGATGTGAGTTCGCTTCAAAGAAGTGCTCCTCGCTGAACGACCGATGCGGCAAAAGAATGGCTTTTTTATCGTTTTTGAACATCAAGGAGGGAAAAGAGAAAACTGATTTTTCCCCCCCCATATCTTGGGGTATTTTGCGGTGTAACTCAATCTGATGTCACTGGGGGTGGAGTCTGCACTGCGTTTGCTCAAACCGGAGCTGCCTCGGTTCAAGGCCTCGTGGCTGAAAGTTCTTAAATCTGTGGCAGGCAGGCAGGCATGACTATTTCTTCATGAGACCCCCACTGCAGTAACGCGTTTTTCATTCTAATCAGCTTCTTAATGCTATTAATTATGATTTCTTTAGTAACATTCTTTCCATCTGCAAGGTTAGTGCAGTCTCACACGAGCACCACCGGTACCATCTGTGTGAAAACACATGTACAAACTCATATAAAACCCTCCTAATTAGGGCTCCAACATACATATGCTTTGTGAATGTGGGTGATAGGCAGAAACAAAGAGGAAAGAGTGGGGCGAGGGAAATTTCACAGAAGTTTCCAAAGATATTTACAGAGGCTGTTATAAATTAACTTTAAAATCTATCCTTGGGGAAGGCTGCTAAATTTGGGAAGGGTAGATTTGATTTTTGTGTTTTCTCTTTTATTTCCAGCTCCCGAGCTGCAAACGTTTGCTCCTGTGGACAAAACTGTACAGCTGGGTTCAAAATGAATTGGTAAAACTCCATGGGAGACAGGAACAAATGGATTCATAAAATGTTCGCAGGGCAGCGCTGCCTAGTAATGTTTAACCTGAACAGCTTGGGCTTTTGGTTTGCTTCAGCATCAAAAAAGTCCCTGCACCTCCCCACGTGGGCTGGGAGTCAGAGCCACCCCTGGCTGCTCTCATATCCCAACTTGCTTCCAATGATGCACGACTACGGCCTCTTTTCTTCTTTCAAAACACACAGGCATGGAATATGAAGTGCACCATTCCTTCAGACACCGACCTGAACGGTCCCTCGCACTGCCACTGAATGGGTGACATTTTTTGTCACAGAAGTTTTGACAGAAGTTTTGTTTTGGGCTTTGATTCCACCACAGTAGAATTGAACTGTTTAAAACAATTCTGTATGTGTGCCCCCATCCACATATGTATTTGTGTATCACTGCAGTTCAAAGCATCATTTTTTCCCCCTTTCTCTTTCAATGAATGCTGTTGCTTACAGGACTTTTAGATTAACAACATAAACAAAAAACTTCGGATATGTAGGGATATCAAAGTTGTCATAAACGATTTTTAGAAGTTCGAAGTCCACTCTCACTCACCCTCCCAAAACACGCCTTTATTTAGGCTGAGCAATCGTTTTAATGAGATAAAAGCTCAGTATTTTCTTAACATTAGCATTGTCCTATCTGCAGGATTGAAAACAAGAAAGCCAGAGAATCCCCATGTTCCTTTCGATAGAAAGAAATAATTAGAATTGTTCCCTAGCTAGCAGATGGCCAGAAATACCTTCTGTGTTTCCACAAACACGTCCCATCGATTGCTTCAAAGTGAATGAACGTAACCAGCACGCAGCACAGAGATCTGCCATCCCCGCCGATCAGAGCCCACAAAGCACACTCTGTGCTCGCTGACATTGGCGGAGCGGAGGGGAACGTGAATGAGAAAACCGGTCAGTAAATGCGAGTTGTGAATGAGGGATTGGATGGGGGAAAAAAAAAAAAGAAAGAAAAAAAAAAGAATAAGAAAGAAAAGAAATAAAAAGAAAAAAAAAAAAGAAAGGAAAGGAAAAAAAAGAAGGAAAAACAAGGGGATGCACGGCTACACAGCTCGCGCCCAAATCCGTGTCGTTCCACAGACCGTACACGGCGGCTTTGCCCCGGGCCCGCAGCAGAGGGGCTTCGTGCGGGGCGGCTCTGCTCGCCTCTCCCCCCGGCGCTCCCCTTCCCCTTTTGTAAATCACAACGAGGAGGTTTTATAGTGAGTCTAATTCTCACTCCCTCCATTTCCTTCCTCTCTGCATTTTTTATCCCCCCGCAGCCCGCCCCTCCCCTGCCTGCAGCCCTGCTATTGATTAACCACTTCGCTGCTCCCCGCGCTGCCCGGCCCGGCCCCTCGCAGCCCCCACCCGGCGGCACTCCGGCCCGTCTGCGCGGCGGAGCGGGGGGGCGGGCAGAGCCCCGGGGCTGCGGGCGGCCGGAGCGCGGCCCCGAAGCGGCCGAGGGCGGCGGGATGCATTGATTAGTATTGATGGCTTCGGTAGCTTTAATGGATTTGTTGTTGGTGGGAGGTGGGGAGCTTTCTGCCTCGCTTTGAATTCTAACCCCCCGGCCGGGAGCTCGCTCCTAATTGCATGCACAGCATTCCTTCGGAGTGGGTGGTATCACCTTTTACTGCTGCTCCCTTCCACGGGGAAGGCCTGTAAAAAATGCCTTTCATGTGCCCGAAAATCAATACCCGGGGCTCTGGATGGCTGCTGTAAAAACAAAACAAAATCCTGTCCCTCCCCTGGAAAATAAATAAGCAAATAAACAAATAAATAGATAAATAAGGAACAACCATAATAACCAGTATATGAGCAGCAGGGCAAAAGAGCCCCTCGGAGCTGCCCGCCGCGCAGCCCGACGTGGGTGAGTGGGTCCCTGCCGCCCCCAGCACCGAGCTGTTTGTGCAGCTGCCGGGATCCGGGCAGTAACAACGGACGGGGCTTGAAAACGCCTTCTGCAGGGGCAGGGAGGATGGAGGTCAGGAGCAGTGCTTAAAAGGTTAAAAAGGATGGAGTGAGTGGGAAGTTACAGAGTTATGGGTGGAGTTACCACACTTTAAAAAAAAGCACAACGGAGTGAAAAAAAATCATCTTTCAGTGAATGTCACGGCGCTGTGCGGGCGCCGTGCCTCGCTGCGGCCAGCGCCGGGCTTCGGAAATGAGGAACGAGGCTTTTTCCTCGGAAACTCTTTAACCGAGTTCATTTCTCATCCTGCCCCGGAGCGTGCGGGAGCGAGACGGGCTGACGGGCGGGCGGACCTCGTGCCCACCGCTCCCTACTGGATCTTCCTTCCTTTAGCGCTGAGGGAAGAGAGAGGGGTCGTTAAGCATTTAGAAATCCACGTACAATAAATCAATGTGTTTCTGTCAACTACATTTCAATTCAATGCCGTTGTTTTCACGGAGCTATTTCATTGATATGGGGCAACTCACCTGTAAGTAATTACAGCTGACTTGCTTTCTAGCAGAGACTAACACAGGAGCAGAAAGGGGATGAAGGTTAGCTCAAAGGAATCCTGCGGGGCTTTGGCATGGGTATAAAAGTGAACAGCAATGCTGAATCGTCATTTAAAAGAAAACTCATGGCTGTGCCTGAAAGCTTCATTTCAATTTAAAAACAGAAAGAACGTGACAGCGTTCCATCAGAAAAGGGTATCGAGCAGAGAAAAGCTCCAAAGCGTCAAACAGGCAGAAGTTCCTCTACTAGTTGTTTGAGGAATCTGCCAGTCTCGGATTTCATGCAGTTTCAAACAGTTTGTGCGATATTTGTTGGTGTAATTCTACTTCTTGTTGAGGCTGTGTTGGCGTTGAGCTGCGTTTGTTTGAAATGAGTTTATCAGCGTAACACTGAGAGGTGAGGTTACTCAAGAGTGCACTGCTTTGAGTGAGATCGTTTAAGTGGGGCCACACAGCGAAAAAAAAAACCACAACAACACAGAGAGACTTTTAAATGATCATTTGTTTTCTATCTAATGTTTTAAAGAGAATGTGCAGACAGTTTGGTGTAAAATCCTACTTGAATCACAGTTCAAATGCTTCGTAACTTCATGCATGATTTTTAGCCAGAGCAAAGTGCTCCAAATATTTTGCATTAATTCAGGTTACTGTGCAGAACTTTCTGCCTGATCAGAAGGTGCTTCAGCAGGGTTCCTGGGGTATTTTCTATTCAGACAGTTCTGAGCTTCTGACTAACCAAATTCTGAATAGGAAGAACCTTTTTCAGGATCAGCTGATTTCAGGCAGCTCATCCTTCCACCGCTGGAGAAGCAGTGTTTGTGTGCATTTTAAAACAGAATACTTACAAACAAAATCCCTCCCTGAAATGCCTAGGATGCACTCCTCTGCTGTGTAGCTGTTGTGGCTGTGCTCTGTAACCTCTTATTGCAGCACGAGTATCAAGTCTGTTTCACTGCATTGGACAATGAAAGCGCACTCTCGGCTGGCCAGGGAGACAGCAGGGCTGTGCTGGGGCTGCAAGTGGTTTTTGGAGGGTGCTGCAGTGACAAAACAGGATCTTCCTTTCTTTTAATGTTCAGGACATTCCTTTCTTTTTTTTTTATTTTTGTAGTTCTGTTTTTTTTGTTATTCCCCATATATACTAAAAAGAAAATCCACAGAACTTCATCAGAAACCAAATCTGGGATTCAGTTCTTCCCTCCTGTCCAAATCCGTTTCCTAACTGTTGATTTTTAAGCAGTTGTGTTTTTTTAATAGCAAAACAAAACAAAGTGAAGTGTATCACACACTGTCTGGAGAGCATGGGATGAGGAGGGTTATTTCCTTCATTCACTGATTTAATCATAACAGTTTAGGAATTTCATTTGTTTGAGATCTCCAGCACTGTTATCCTGCAGCCATTTCAGTGCACGGATCTGTTTGATGTTCATGAAAACGAACCAAAGCACGAAGGCGGCTCCGCAGCCCCCCGGCAGCGCTGCCTGGGTGTGTGAGCGCCGAGCCACGGGGCGGGCAGCAGGGTGCTGTGGGCAATGGACCTGAGGGAAACATCTCTGCTGCACCAAGGATTTAATGAGAGAATAGGTCAGCAGAAAGGTTTCCTCTTTCTTACATTATCAGTGAGATGCGTGCCAAGCAAGAAGATGTTTGCGGGGGTGCAAGCGCAGCGTGTCTCTGGGCAGTGTTAGCGGGGGGTTGTTTCTCTGATAAATGATGGAATCGTGGCTTTTTAGCCAAAAAATCCCATCAGTAAACACTTGTGCAAATGCAGTGAATGTATTTCAAAGTGGCTGACTGACACAAGGGGAATTAAGGAGTTATGGTTTGATTATCAAACAAATGGTTTCGTTCAAAAAACTTAGGAATCTGCAGCCTAAACTGGGGAACTCGGGGGGAGCACGAGTGTCTGAGCACCCAGGTCGACTGTGTCTTAGACTGCCCCTCAAAAGGAAACAGAACCTGCAGAGAAGTGCTCACAGTATTGCTCACACGGCTGCTGCATTGCATCCTAGAATTGAAGACCTCATTGCTTTTAGCTGTTAACCAATATCGCCTTGTTTTAAACCTGCAGCCTTGGAGAATGCTTCCAAAGTTAAATCTAATCTTTGTGTTGCTCAGTAGCACCCACAAGGATTAATTTTAAATAATACTATTTAAAACTTTGTTTCGAGATTAATTTCCCATTACCTCAAAATTCATCTGGGCTTCTCATCTCATAAATCCAAAACAGTTGATGCTGTCATTTAGTTCAGGCATTTTCTCTTAAGCTGCATACCTGCTATTCAAGTGCCCCGAAGGTTGGTGCTTCAGCTACACGTCCCATGTCGCCCGGTGGTTCTCATCCAGCTGTCTGACTGGGCAACCGAGCAGATCACCTTCCTTTAATTAGAACCAACTGTTCCTCATCATTTACAACGAGAGATAGCAAACGAGGTAAGCGAGACTTTGTTGGCGCAAGCGGAAAAGGAAAACAAATGAATTAACAAGCCCTGCAAACTAGCCTTTGCAATGACAGATTTTCTTTGGTTAATACCTTGCACACACTGTGCATTTAACCACAGGGAAGCAGTGGGTGCTTAAGGTGAAAAAGAGCCCTTAGAAACATTTCAGCTAATACCATTATGTCCTTCACGTAGTTCTGTGTACCTTTCATGTCAGTGGGGAAAAGGAGCAATGACATTTGGGTATTAATACACCTCGAAACTGGGAAGTGCTGCTTCAGTGCAGCTGGGAGCCGCTCTTGTGAGAGCTGAGCTTCTGCACCCACTGAGATCCGCAGCTGGAAAACAGCCCACAGGGACGGCGAGTTGTGCAGTGAGCGCCCCGACCCACTGTGAGCCCACAGCCAAGCCTGCACGGATCAGAGAGCTCTGCTGGAAACACTCCTGCGGAACAGCAGCTCTCTGTCGGCGAAGGTGGAATTTAGGTCGTAGAAATCATCGACTAAGATCCAACAGATAGCAGTATCTTTTCAAGACATTTAAAAATAGTCCTTGTCCACAAAGTCATCTTTCTGACTACACGACTGTAGCAAATGCTGCAGAGAATTCGGCATTAGCTGAGTGTAGAGGGTCCCTGCTGGTCTCAGTCCTCCAGGTATTCCTCGCAGTGGACCGAGTCCACATTTGTAACATTCAAATGCGTTTTCCCAAACGACCTCAAAGACCTTTTAAATCAATATTTGGATGATCAGGGAGCAAATGTTTGAATTGGGAAAGGAAGGGGCGAATGCAGCCCGCGCATGGCTGCTGCGTCAAGCAGCGGGGGGGAGAGGATGGGGGTGCAACGCTGCGCCGGGCTGCGCTGGGCTGGGCGGGCGCCCCGCGGCGGTTCGGGGCTGTCAGCTCCACTGCGGACGGACGATGTGGGGGGAATCACGGCGCCGTCCGGAAAGGGCTGAGTTTTGCCCGGTTACTAATGACGCGGAGATAGAGAATAGGGTGAGAGACTTCGGGGCAGCATCATTCACCAGTTCTTCCAGGTACTTCATCTGATGTTGGCAGTGAGGTGGAAGACTTGCAATTCGTGGCAGAAACCAGAGGGAGCTCATTTTTTGTCCTAAGCTTAGAAGGAAACTCCTTTGGTGCTGTAAGCACAACAGAAATCCTTTACGTGGTCAAAAAATTAAGAGAAAAATCACTCTCTTAAGACCTGATAGAGGAAGCTTCTGGCATCCTTATGTCTCAGCTCAGCTTTTCTCTTTCTCATTTAAAAATTCAGGAGAGGAGAGATGTATGCCTAGCAGTGATTAAGAAAAATTCAACAACCCCATTGAGAACACCTGGATGACGTTTGAAACAGACTATTAGGGTTTCTTCCAAGCGTGCACGTAAGCTTTGTCCAACAGGAGCTGACTCAGACGCAGTGCGGTTCCATCACTGCTCCCAGCTGGCTCTTGGCAGACCTCGTCTTGGTTTCAGCACAACTCTCAGAAGACACTGATAATGAAAATTACTACTGGAAAGAGATGGCCAGCTTTTTTGCACTGCTCACATAGAAGATGTGTGCTCTGGACTTCTCATCCGGACTCTTGAAATATTGTGTTAAAAGAAATCATCAAAAGAAATCCCTAAAACCTTCAAACTCATAACCTGATGGCGTGTGCTTTTGTTAAGGGTGTGTTGAACTATCCTGTTATTATTCAAGGAACAATCAAGATGGCATCTCTTTAAGCTACATTGATTCAAACTCTCACAGACTGACACAGACAGAGCAGAGAGTGCAAATTAATATGGTGAGGGATGGTGCACACTTAAACCACGCTTTGAAACAACACACTGCTCCAGAAGGCGGTCTGCTGAGAACACCCTCATCTCATTTAACTGAAATTAATTGAAATTAAACGAATTCTCAATACGTCAAAAGAGATTGTAAAAAGAACAATGTGCATTGCAAACCCCTCCACCTCAGCAGCCATTATGTTTAAAGGAAATCTGTGATCTGCAACCAATTAGGAGCAAAATGGTTGTAAAATATTTAATTTGCGAGTAGCATTTTAAATTCAGTAACAGCTCTAGCAAAATGGGTAAGTAAATGACATTAATCACTCTTGATACTAAATTATCCCTATTTTGCTTCCAAGACAGGAATCAGACTGGGCGATGTTTTCTATTAGTTAAATACATCCATAATCCAATGAAAGCCTAGGAGGCCATTTAACTAATAGGAATTTCAACATCCTTGCTGTTCCTTTATTTTGCGTGCTTTTTAAAGGTCGTATAACCGTTTTAAAGACTCACCCCTTGATGTTTCAGCAGAGGTAGTAAGCGTTGTTTTCCCGATAAGAGCGATTTCAGACAGGTAGAACAACGTTTCCTGCAGTGAAGACTAAACACCAAGCTCATTTGAAATGATTTTAACAACTCCATGGCCTAGAGGAAAATACTGCTCTCTGGCCTACAACACCAGCACTTCGGTTTGGTTTTGTTGTTGTTCTTGCTTTTGTTTCAAAGAGGAAGAATTTTTGGTGGGTTACATAAGGCAATAAAATGTAAGTGGTTACTTTCCACAGCTGAGCTTTGGTTTCTTGGTATCTTGTTTGTTTGAATAAATGCATAACAAGTGCAGAGTGGTGCAAGTGCTGCGCTGCTCCCCGAGGGGCTCGGCGCGGCCACAGCCTCACGCTCACCTGCTTCCCAGGCTTTTCTATACCCTCTGGCTGCGTGTTTCCATTTCTCATTCATGAACACTGAGGTTGTATTTTTAATACATTTTAAAAGAAAATAAACATATTTTTAAAGCCCATTTTAATTCACAAACGTCTGAGGTTAGATTCAGCTTCTCAAGATGAATTATTTCCTGCTTTCTTTCTTGTAAATATCTTCCACCACCAACCACCTTCTGCAGATAAAACTTTACCAATTAGTCATTTACAGACATAAACTCACAAGGCAAAAAACAGCCTTTGCAGCTCTAGGCCTCTTTGATGATGATGATGTTTACAAATGCTTTCAGTGCTGCTCTAGTAATGTGCACTTTGCCATTAGCTCTCTGAAACTGTTCAACACACAGAATGTGCCTTTCAGTAAGTCAGATGGCAAGAAAGATTGTTCCTTTCATTACATGCAGGACACTTATAAAATAAATAGTGGCCAGGGAGAATGTACCGCAGCCTGACTTCATCAGGCTGAAGAAAGATGTCTTTTTCACAGTGATTCCACTGAATGAACAGGTCACTTGTGTGAAAAGTGTCCCGGTGCGATTGCCACCATGCCCGTGTTGCCTACCAGTAGCAGGCTGTGGTGCCAGGTGATGGCTGTGCTCACTGCTTGTCAACCCCTGCATGAGAGACACAACCAAACCCTCTTCTTCTCTTCTGTGGTTTCTCCGGTTCTTTGACAATTGTGGTTATCTCCTTTTGGTGTCAGTTTCACCATCAGGACACACTGGTTCCTGGCAGTGCTATCACACATGGCAAAAAAAAGCTCCATGTTCGATGGAGATGCAGGAGGTTAAAAGGGTTAAATCAGTCAAGAGAGACATGAGTGATCTGCACTGCCTGAACAGAAGCAGAAGTTTAGTTCCTGAACTGTGCAGCCCACAGGAAGAGTAAGTGAGACAAATGTCAGAACCCAGGGAGTGAGAGCAAGCAGAGACGTTTATACTGTTTGAACATCACAGGTGTTAGAGCCCTTTTATTGCTGCAAGCACTCTCACATGAACAGCAAAGTGTCCATTTGGAGTCAGTCTGAAGAGAGCACGAGGTATCCCAGCTCAGCTCTTCTGTGCACTCTGGTTTTCCTCCATTTGTCTGCTGGGATGGACTTTTCCCTCTCCTGGAACTGCTTCACAGCTCAGTTTATCTCAGTACAACCAGGTTTTGCTTTACGAGTGACCTGGAAGGGGCCAGTACTTGGAGAACAGGCAGCATGTTCCATTTTCATCTGAGTACCGGACACTCTGAGGAATGCACAGGTGAGGAAGACGAATCACCTGCCCTGTGCATTTGCTTCCCCACGATGCTCTCCTGTAATCCACAGGATTACCTAAACGTCGGCTGAGTTTTGAGTTTGCTGAACGTCTACCAAAATATTTTAATAGATAATTTTGCTATTTCAAGAAAGAGAAAAGTAGCTAGAATAAACTGGACCAAATCCTTGTTTGGAAGGTGGAAGGTGGGCACGCCTCTAGTAGATTAAAAGAGCGATCCCAGGTTTGTTCCAGAGCAAGGCACTGACCTAATTTAATGTGTTCAGAAAACAGAGATGGGGGAACCCCTGTTAGTCTCTCTAGTCAAACTGCAGTTATCGGTGGCAGGACCTGTGCACTGAGAGACAGCGATCTCTGGTAAGGTGGGTGAAAAGCAAGAACTGCAGAAGTCAGGATCATTTCCCGTAGTCTTTACAGATGTGGGTCAGGTCCCTGGGAGCTGACCAGGTTTAGCATTAGAACTCCGTGTAAATGAGTCTCTCCCAGAGTGTTTTACTCTCCAGGTATCAGTTCAGTGCTTTCCTGCACAGTTTTATTTATGCACTGTGCTTAGGAGTGGCTGATTATTCGTGTTTTAGGATGACAGAGTATCACTCTTTTCAACTCTCTGAACACAGATGATGCCTCACATTCAGTTTTCAGATGATGGTATGTTTTGGGGGAATGAAGAATGACTGCACATGTGCAGGGTGCTGTCAAGTACAACACAGGGTACTGGCACCCAGCTGAAAGCCAGCAGGATTTTATTTTTGTTACGTGAACACTTGTTTTTGAGTGAAAGAATTCCAACGCCATCAGCACTTGTGAGCAGCGAAAGAAAATGTTCAGGTGACGATGTGCGCTCGGTAGAAAAGCTGCTCTTCCTACAGCGGTGGGTTAAAGTCTGTTTTACTGCAGGATTTCATTGGGGTTGACTGGAATTTGGCCTGAGTAAGGTGCTCAAGGTTTTTCTTCAAGTAACTTCACAGTTATTCAGCATGGAGAACTGGGAACCACGTGATGCTCCTGGCATCGTGTGATGTTCCCACTCCTGCTGCAGGAGCACACTTATCTGAAGATTAAGCAGAACTTGCCCTTACAGAAGTGCACACTCACGCCGAAGGCAGACAAAGACCTTGGAGCTTTTGTGTAATTGGAACTCAAGTTATTTATTCAACTGTCCACCGTGGCAGGAATTTTTCTGCTAGATATATAATTCCCTACTTTTTTTCCTCAAACAAGAGAACCAGAGGGTGAAAGGGTTGAAGATTAAAATGTAAACAGCAAAATTTATTATAATTACAAGAGTGTTTCAAATTATTTCCTTAAACTGCAACATAATTTACCTCTAGTCAAGGTCTCTATTGGTGGTGAAAGAGGAAACTGCTTGACCTTGGGGTGACCTCTGGCCCCCGGGGGTCAGCGCCCGAGGAATGCGCAGATGTCACGGTTCATAAGCAAGGACAGAAACTCTCAGGTTTCCCAGGCAGAGAGGCGCCAGTTAGGGGATGGGGCCAATATGTGCACCTCCCTTTGAACCAACCACTTGTACCTGAAATTGCGTGGAAAACAAGCGTGTGCTGGACTAGGGATGAGAAGAGAGCAGGGCAGGATGGAGGCTTGCTCCAGGAACAGGCGCAAGCAGCAAGGAGCTTGTAGGAAATGCAAAGGCTCAAACAAGAAGGGCCCATGTCTGCATTGCCTTGCTGTGTGTGTGGAATGCTGCGAATGTACATGGTTTGCAGTACAGGGCCATGTGCAGCACCTGGCAGATGCTTTGACTGCAACAAACCAATGCAGCCTGTCAGTACAGCAAAAGCAATGTCCTGCACCCATAGCAGTGTGAAGAGAGGAGAGTGAAACAGAAGGATTTATTGCCCATGCTATGTCAAGAAAAACTGGGCATGGTCTGAGTTAATGCGGTGCAAATTGCTGTTAGGACTTTTGGAACATCAGCAAAGATCCTCGAGGCAACCCAGATCTGCTGTTCAGCTTGCCTGCTCTCTGCCCCACAAGAAAGCAGTTTGCTTTGCCAAACAGTTTTCTTTTGACAAACGAAAAGAAGCATTTGAGACAAAAAAATCAAGGAGTGCTTTAAGAAAATTGTTCCTAATAAATGCCAATAAATAAAGTCTGAGCTGAAACAAATTGCGTGGTGAATATTAAGCTAAGGGAGAGAAAATTATACCCACAATAGTATTCAAATAAGTAATGAGATGAGGGCAAAGCACAGACACGAGGTTCATTTTAATATTGAAATCGTAACTTATGTATCAAAATAAAATTTATATTCAAGGAAATTGTGAACCCAAGGGTTCCTTTTAACTATTTTCAGTCTACAAACCACAAGTCGTGCTAAGCATGATCAAAGTGCTGCACAATTAGTTTGGTCTTAAATCACTATAATTGTCAGCCTAGGTTGTAATCAGAGAAACATTGTTCTGAGGCAGCAGCAAACTTGTCCTGGTTGTAATCTGGGGAAAATTCGAGAAAAATGCTGGGACGTGGTTGATCCCCAGGAGCACAGCATGAGTATGTGGGGACATTGTGCTCACCACGACTAGCACCAGAGAGACTGCACCAAATTTGAGACTGCCAGGCTGCCTCTCCACCAGGGCCAGGACCTCTTTACTGCTTCTGATCAGATCCATGCCTCAGTTTCCTTTGTGGGAATAGTGGGGATGATACCAGAGAGACTTTATGAAGAGTAACTCGTGAATGCTACAGAGCACGTGAGCTTCAGGTGGTGCTGCAAAGTGCCTGCATGTGCCAGTTGCAGGTTGATAGGAAGAGGAGGCTGGAAGCGCAGCACAGAGTGCTTGGATGGAGAATGCAGGAGTGCCAAGAATGACTGCAATGCAAGCAGGAGCCTGCTGGCACACTGCTCCTTTAATGATGCTGGCAGCACGTTATCTTGAAGCTGCAATGGTTTTCTGAATAGATTGCTTGGAAGTTTCAGGTTGGAGAGCTCTTCTAGGGGCTTTGCCAACAGCACAACAGAATAGGGGAAAAGAAAGATCAAATGCTTTCGTAATTATTAACAGTGGTTTTTTTTGTTTTTTTGTTTTTTTTCAATTACAGAGATCTTCCAGGAATACAGGAAATAAAGCTGGTCTTTGAAGGAATCGTGCTTTCTAGGCATTAAAAGAGAAGAGGTAGCTTTAATCTGGACTTTGCTATGGAGAAACTGAAGGGCATTTCCCCTCTGGAAGCCTTGAAAGGAGAACTTGCTCAGCAGTGCAAATGAAGAAAACAACAGGGCTTTGTGCTGGAGGATCTCAAAGCGTTTTCTGATCTGGACCAGGAAATGTAATACCTCCTGGGAGCTGCACTAAATTGGAAACAGGGACACTGAAAGCTCACTCAACTCTGCTCCGGCTGCGTGCAGCCACGTTTCCACCCATGCTGGTGGACCAAAAAAGCAATGTTTTGACAACTTGAGTCTTCAGCCTTGACTTCTCTATAGGGATGTGGGAGATCAGTGGGCAGTGTAGGGTTAGTGAAGAAGTGGTTAAGAGAAGGGAATTAACTTTGCCACCTTGCATCCAGCCAACCCTGAGGCTTTCCTTGGCCTTGGAAGAACG